AGAGCGAGATGAAAGGCAGAGAAAGATGAGAGAGGGAGGGGGCAGAGGAAACAAGAAGACAGAAAAACAGAGATGAGAAAGAAATAGAGAGATAGAGAGAGAGAGAGAGAGGAGAAGAGAGAGAGAGAGAGAGAGAGAGAGAGGAGAGAGAGAGAGAGATGGAGAAAGAGAGATGAGAGATGAAGAGAGAAGAGAGTAGAGAGAGAGAGAAGAGAGAAAGAGAGAGAGAATAGAAGGAGAGAGACAGAGAGAGAGAGAGAAGAAGGAGAGAAGAGAGAGCAGAAAAAAAAAAAGAGGACATAGAGGGGAGAGAGAGCGAGATGAAGAGACAAGAAGAGAGAGAGGGGGGCAGAGGAAACAGAGGAAGGAAAAAACAGAGAGAGAGAAGAATAGAGAGAGAGGAGAGAGAGAGAGAAGAGAGAGAGAGAGAGAGAGAGAGAGAGAGAGGAGAGAGAGAGAGAGAGAAGAGAGAGGAGAGAGAGAGAGAGAGAGAGAGAGAGAGAGAGAGAGAAGAGAGAGAGAGAGAGGAGAGAGAGAGAGAGAGAGAGAGAGGAGAGAGAGAGAGAGGAGAGAAGAGAGAGAGAGAGAAGAGAGAGAGAGAGAGAGAGAGAGGGAGAGAGAGGAGAGAGAGAAAGGCAGAGAAGAAAAAAAAAGAGAAAGGAGAGAGAGGGGCAGAGGAGAAAGAGAAAAACAGAGAGAGAGAGAAAGAGAGAAGAGAGGAGAGAGAGAGAGAGAGAGAGAGAGAGAGAGAGAGAGAGAGGGAGAGAGAGAGAGAGAGAGAGAGAGAGAGAGAGAGAGAGAGAGAGAGAGCAGAGGAGAGAGAGAGAGAGAGAGAGAGAGAAGCAGAGGAGAGAGAGAGAGAGAGAGGAGAGAGAGAGAGAGAGAGAGGGAGAGAGAGAGAGAGAGAAAGAGAGAGAAGAAGAGAGAGAGAGAGAGAAGAGAGAGAGGAGACATTTCGCATTTGACTGGAAATATTTGTTATGTAAATCACGGGTCCAGAATCGCCAGCAATTTCCCTTGCATTCAACATTCATGACGTGCGGGGGTGCGCGCTCGCCGACTCCTGAAGCTCCGGTCGATTGTGCCGGCGGCAGGAGGCGGCTGGGGCTGTTACATCATGCAGTCACTATCAACACCATCATTATTGAGACTTGACACCTTCGCCATCACCATCCTTACTTAACACTTTTATAAACATATCATTCATCACCTTCACCATCATCATTATTCATCATCTTCATCATCATCACCTTCACTATCATCTTCACATCATCTCATCACCTTTTACCTTCACCATCATCATCACCATCCTTCACCATCATCCCTTTCACCATTCTCATCTCATCACCTTAACCATCATCATAATCACTTTCACCATTATCAACACTCATCACCTTCACCATCATCATCATAATGGGAGTGACATACAGGCTATATCCACACACACACAAACATAAAAGAAACAGGGACATAGTTGATTTTCGTGTTTGTCTGTTCTAGCTGACCTGATTTTTCGGTAAGGTTACGTTAACATTTGACCAGATCTGGCCACGGCATCCGACCAGCTCCTGACAGACGCCGTTCAAATCACCTGACCTTTCCCTCGCCGTGCAAAGTTCTACCACGACTTCTCTTCATTTGCATTCTAAGCCAAGTCACCCAGCTTGTCCCTTGGAAAGTCACTTGACCTGTTCCTTGTCGACCGAAGTCAAGTGACCTGTTCATTGCCGGGAGAGGTCAATAATCTTGTTCCTTGTAAATCTAGTGAAATCACCTTACTTCTTCCTTGATAACCGAGGTCGGGTCAAGTCACCTTACTTTCTTGATAATCGGTCGGGTTCAAGTCACCTGCCCCTCGTAAATGACCGTCAAAACGCCGAACGAGTTCCTCGCAAATCCACGCTAAATAACCTGACCTAATCCTCGTAAATCAAAAAAGAATATGACCTGTGACGCCACACTCCTGACCTATTCCTTGTAAAACCAAAACCAAGCCACATGACCTGACCTGGACCACGACATGAAATCACCTTCTCTTATCACACAAAATCAACTAGAACCCGTGACGCCACACCCTTGACCCGCTCTCGTTACAAAACCAAAACCGAGCCACCTGACCTGACCTGGATCACATGAAATCACCTCTTAGCGCCTAAATTCACCATTGACCTGTGACGCCATACCCTAAAATCACCTTTAGTGCACAAAAAACTACCAATAACCTGTGTGAAGCCACTCCCATAACCCGCTCCTTGCAAAACCAACTCCAAGCCACCCTACCTTCCCCTAGCAAATCCAGGTCACCTATTCCACACTATGCCCCGCCTCTCACCTTACCCCCCCCCCCCCCTCCTCCCTATGCTGTCTAAGCCGATGGGGAAAATTCCAGGAAAAAATAATAAAGCATATCGACCGCCAAGGAAGTCGTGGGGAGGGAAGAGGGGAGAGAGGCAGAAGGGATTAAAAAAGGAGGACGAGATGGATGAAATGGGGACGGGAATAAAGAGAGGAAGAAGGGATATATGGGGAGAGAAGGAGGGCACAGAATTAAAATAAGGAGGACGACTAAGGAGGACGAGATGGATGAAATGGGGACGGGAATAAGAGAGGAAGAAGGGATATATGGGGAGAGAATTAAAAAATAAGGAGGACGAGATGGATGAAATGGGGACGGGAATAAAGAGAGGAAGAAGGGATGTATGGGGAGAGAATTAAAAATAAGGAGCGATGAAATGAGACGACGAGATGGATGAAATGGGGGACGAGAATAAAGAGAAGGAGGACGAGGCGGATGAAATGGGGACAGGAATAAAGAGGGAAAGAAGGGAGAGGTGGATAAAATAGGGACGGAATAAAGAGGAAGAAGGGACACGTGGATAAACTGGGGACGGGATTAAAGAAAGGAAGAAGGGAGAGGTGGATAAAAGGAAAAAGACGGGAGAGGTGGATAAGATGAAGAAGGGAGAGTTGGATAAAATGAGAAAGGGAGAGGTGGTTAAATAGAAAGACGGGAGAGGTGGATAAAAAGTGGAAGAAGGAAGGGAAGGATAGAAAAGAAGAAAGACGGGAATAAAGAGAGGAAAAACAGAGAAGGGAATAATGAGAGGAAGAAGGGAGAAGGTATTAGAGAGATGAAGAAGGAAGAGATAGATAAAGAAGATCATCTAGACAAGGACACAAAACGAAAAAGGAATAGATGAATAAATAGAGACAAAGAAGAAACAAAAGGAAACCAAGAAAGGGAAAGAAAAGGAAGAAGAAGAGAAAGACGGATTAAGAAGAGAGATAACGAGACACGAAAGCCTTGGAAGAAGAATAGCAAAAGGAGAATGGAGAGGATTAAGGGTAAGAAATAATAATAAAAAAAAAAAACGATCATTCATGAACGGAAAGGGTACAAAAAAAAAAAAAAAAATGAAGAGCAAGAATACAAAAACGAAATAAAGAAAAAAAGAAAAAAAAAGAAAATCAGGAATAAAGACGAAATAAAAAAATAAAAGGAAATAAGAAATAAAGACGAAATAATAAAGAAAATAAAGAATAAAGACGAAAGAGAAACATCAGAAACGACAGAAGGATGTTCATAATGACATTCGTAATACAAATAGTTATAACAGAAAAAATAACGAAAACAAAAACACAACAAACCAAAACCAACAACAAACAATTATAACCAATTCATAAAAAAAAACAGCAGCAAATAACATCATCAACAAACAAGAACAACAATAATGATGCTAATAATAAAAGACAGGATGCCAGCAAGAACCCGAGGGAGAGAGAGAGAAAAAAAAAAAGAAAAATGTAGGGCGAGGAACAGCATGATAGGAAATCTTTAACACTGGCTGCTCCCCTCCCCAATTCCCTTTCCCTCCCTCCTTCCTTCCACTCCCCCCATCCAACCAACCTCCACTATCCCCCTTCTTCCTCCTCCTTCCACTCCCCCCCATCCAAACCACCCTCCTACTATCCCCTTCTTCCTCCTCCCTTCCATTCCCCCCCCCCCCCCCCCCCAATTCCCTTTCCCTCCTTCCTTCCTTCCACTCCCCCCACCAACCCTCCACTACCCCCCTTCCTCCTCCTTCCCCTCCCCCAATTCCCTTTCCCTCCCTCCCTCCCTCCTTCCTTCCTTCCCACTCCTCCTCCAGCAGACACCGGAAGCGAGTCGCCTCCTCCTCGAGTCTCCTACAGCGCCGCAGGGCCGGCCTCCGACCTCCTTCCTCCTCCGGCCGGTGAATTTATGGCAGCCATTCATACGGCCTAAGTAGTGAGGGGGTAAATGCGGAGGGGAAACTAATGGTGATAGATGGACGGATAGATTTAAAGGGACGAGCGCGTTATTTCTGCATTTGTTCACCTTTGTAGTTCGTTGTCTGTGTCTCTGGCTCTCCATTTCCCTCCATTTCCCCCTATATATGTATGTATGTATGTGTGTGTATATATGCGTGTCTGCGTGCGTGCGTGTGTGTGTGTCTGCGTGTGTGTGTGTGTGCGTGTCTGCGTGTGCGTGCCATGTATACCCCACATCCTCGCAACACAGGCAATAGCCTCTTCCCGCAAAAATGTTTCGGAGACCTTAACAGCCCCACTTCATCTTGGTTCTTCCCCCCTCCCCTCCCCCCCCCCCCCTCCGTCTTATCTCCTATCTCCACGCGCCCTCCTCTATCCCCTCTTCCCACGGCGCAATTCTTCCCGCATCCTGCCCCTCTCGACTTGACGTATTTCAACACTTAGGTCGCATCACACACGCACACACACACACACACACACACACACACACACACACACACCACACACACACACACACACACACACACCACACACACACACACACACACAACACACACACACACACACACACACACACAACGCGCGCGCGGGGCGACCAAACACGATCTTTTCGCGACACCGAATTACCTTTCTTTTTTTTTTATCTCCTTGACAACTAAGACTTCTCTTCCTCCATCCCTCTCCGTTCTTTGTGCCATTTCCCAGCATTCATGCCCACCTCCCAGCATCCAGCACCTCCCGGTATTCGGCATCCCACCTCCCAGTATCCGGCATCCCACCTCCCAGCATCCCGGTACCACCTCCCAGCATCCCGGCATCCATCTCCAGCCATCCCACCTCCCGGTATTCCGGCATCCCACCTCCCGGTATTCCGGCATCCCACCCCAAACTATCCCAGCATCCCACCCACTATCCCGGCATCCCACCCCACCTCCCGGCATCCCATCCCACATCCCGGACATCCCACCTCCCAGCATCCCCGGCAAATCCAAACCTCCCAGGCATTCCCGTCATTCCCACCTCCCAGCATCCGGCCATCCCACCTCACAGTCATCCGGCCATCCCATCTCCCAGCATCCGCACCCACCCCAACTATCCCGGCACCCATTCCCCCCCCTATCCCGGAGAATCCAACCCTCCCAGCATCCCGGCACCCACCTCCCCAGCATTCCCGGCCATCCCAACCTCCCAGCAATCCCGTGGCATCCCATTCCAGTCATCGGCCATCCACCCCAACTATCCCGCATCCCATTTCCCCCCCCCCTATTCCCGGCATCCCACCTCCCAGCATCCCGGCATCCACCTCCCAGATCCCGATCCATC